ATATATATATATATATATATATATATATATATATAATTTCATTAACATAATGATTGTTTTGGGGGTGATTGCTGTGGCAAAATTGCCCCCACTTAATAACTATTATTGCTTGCTTAATGATTGGACGTGTTTTAGTTTTCAGAAAAAAAAAATGGGCTTAATTCACTCAGGTAGCAAATGAGCTGAATGTGAGCTTGTTGGGTATTTTTTGTACTTGGTTTGTTGACTTTCTAAACAGGTCTTCTATCAACGAGCTAAGAAATTTTGTTCGAATTAGTTACTTTTTATCAGACTTGAATCTGAGCAAGATAGAATTAGGTCATTTGATTGTTAGTAAATGAAACAAATTTTCAATTGTTGGCTCTAATGGTTTGAAAAAGTTGCTCTAATTTTACTGTTGTTATTTAAAGTTTAGATAATATTAATGTACGTTTTTGAAAGTATATTTGGTAGCTCTAGGGGTGTAAACGAGCTGAACACGAGCGAGCCATGCTCAGTTGTGTTTGGCACGTATATATTTCGAGCTCAAAAAATGTGTGTTCGGCTCGTTTGTTTAACGAGCTGAACACGAGCCGTTCACGAATAGAGTACTTTTAACGGCCTTAATTATGTAGCCAGACAATAAGAGTTTGAGCAATATTTAAATATTATTATTTATATTAAAACATAATTTGAATTTAATTTAATAATTTTTATTCTATTTTCTTAATCATCATAAATTTTTGTAGTCTTGTAGTCAATTAGATTTTTTTTAAAATATTACTTTTATATATATAATATATATATATATATATATATATATATTAAAATATCATTCGAGCTGTTTTGATAACCCTAGGTAGTTTTAATGATAAAAATAAAGTTACAAAATAGTATAATTTACATTTATTTACCTTTTACAGAATGAATGAATTGAATATAAATAATTGTCGATTAGTGCATTAGCCTGGTAACAACAATTTTTTTCACAACAAAAAGTTCATGTGTCACAGCCTGAACTTTTCGAATTTTCCATATATTTGTTTGGGGCATTTATGTTCGTACGACATAATTTTTTATGTATTTACATGTCTAACACCTAAACTTTACGATCTATAACATCATCACTCATTGATTTATGACATCCGTGGTATAATTGCAAATATTAAATTTTAGGTGTTGGGCATGTAATTATTCCCAATTAGTTTCTTTGTTCTTTTTTGCGTTATGGATATGTAGACTCTTCAATTATATGGTTGTAAAGCTCAATAAAAATCCCCATCGATCAATTTAAGTTTTTATGATAAATATTATGTTCCTCTTATTTGTTAAGGATCAGAATCACGTTGTTTCAAAGAAAATAAGACCACAACTCGATAACCCTAAACAGATAAATAAAACAAAAGTTTTAACTCAAAGAAAGCATCAATAACTCAAAAAATTAACGCTCAAAAAAGAAACAAACCTATAACAAAAGCATGCTTCCAAACAAAAAAAAGCCCAAACAAGAAAGGCAAACCATGCTCTTACAATTGCTCCAAGAAAAAGAAGGAAAAACCAATTCGAAAGTCATCAGCCAACAAGGGATGAAGCAGCACAACAGCAGAGGAAGAACTGTAAATCCGCCAACCACTGTGGAGGAGGAATAATAAGAGACGGCAGACGAAAAATAGCAGTAGAAGTTTCAACCCAATTAGAGAAAACAAAACAAGAAAAAGCTATAACAAGGAACGTCCCAGGAAAAACTAAACCGGAGCCCCAACGCAAAACAACATTAGAAGAAATATACATAAAAAGCTTATTGCTCAAACTCACAGAGCTTAAAACTTACTTGCAAGAAAAATTATTAAAATTCCCTCAAACTATAATGAATGTGCTATACAAATATAATTGTTCAAATATACTATTCAATTATAATAAATAGCTGGATAAAATCATAGCTCATTTTAAAACGACAAAAAGGGAAAAAAAATGAGTAATATTGTTCATATCAAATGAATACCCAAAAAATTAGAAACCACAAAACAAGTGTCCGCAGAAGAAAAGGAGCTTACAATCAAGAAGGAAGGCTAAACAAGAAAGACAAACCAAACTTTTAACACAACTTCAAGAATAAGCAAATTCCAATTCGAGAAACACAAGTAACAACAGAAGAGGAACCACAAAAATAGAAGAATAATAGCATGACATTGACATATAACAAGAAAAAAAAAACATCAAAAGACAATAATCTTAAATCAGCAGAAGGTAGAGTAAACAACCAACCTAAATCAAACAAGAAAGTCAATTCCTCCTTTGACATAGAAGTTAATAAAATTCTCTCTAACTATGATAAATATCATATAAAAATATAAATATTCAAACATATGCTTGAATTTTAATAAATAGATGGAAAACATCATACCTCAACAGAAAAATGATAAAAAAGAAATGAATAACATGAACAATAGTACTCATATTAGAAGAATACCCAAAAATCAATAATCCACAAAACAAGAGTCCTTAGAAGCAAAGAAGCTCCCAACTAAGAAGGAAACCCAAATAAGAAAGGCAAATCAAGGTACCAACACTGCTTCAAGAATAATAAGAAGATCCCAACTCGAGAAACGCAAGACAACAGTAGAAGAGGAACCACTACAACAAAGAAGAACAATAATGAGAAAAAAAAAAGAGAAAGCAGTTTAATACAAGTAGAAGACAAGGGCAGACATCCAACCTAAATCAAAATAGGAAGATAAATTCCACCTTGATAGCAAAAAAGCCAAATCAAAGAACACAAAGCAAATGAAAGTAACAAAAAGAGAAAATCCAGGAAACTCTAAACCTAAGAAAACAACTGACCGACTTCTTTTTGTAATCGACAAATTCTTTTTGTAATCGAAAAATAGCAGTAGAAGTTTCAACCCAATTAGAGAAAACAAAACAAGAAAAAGCTATAACAAGGAACGTCCCAGGAAAAACTAAACCGGAGATAACTCAACCCCAACACAAAACAACATTAGAAGAAATATACATAAAAAGAAATTGAGTAAAAAACCAAGATAGTGCAAGCTTATTGCTCAAACTCACAGAGCTCAAAACTTACTTGCAAGAAAAATTATTAAAATTCCCTCAAACTATAATGAATGTGCTATACAAATATAATTGTTCAAATATACTATTCAATTATAATAAATAGCTGGATAAAATCATAGCTCATTTTAAAACGACAAAAAGGGAAAAAAAATGAGTAATATTGTTCATATCAAATGAATACCCAAAAACCCAGAAACCACAAAACAAGTGTCCACATAAGAAAAGGAGCTTCCAATCAAGAAGGAAGGCTAAACAAGACAGACAAACCGAACTCTTAACACAACTTCATGAATAAGAAGCAAATTCCAATTAGAGAAACACAAGTAACAACATAAGAGGAACCACAAAAACAGAAGAATAATAGCATGACATTGACATATAACAAGAAAAAAAAAACATCAAAAGACAACAATCTTAAACCAGCAGAAAGTAGAGTAGACAACCAACCTAAATCAAACAAGAAAGTAAATTCCTCCTTTGACATAGCTCAGAACTTACTTGAAATAAAAGTTATTAAAATTCTCTCCAAGTATGATAAATATCATATAAAAATATAAATATTCAAACATATGCTTGAATTTTAATAAATAGATGGAAAAAATCACACCTCAACAGAAAAATGATAAAAAAGAAAAGAATAACATGAACAATACTACTCATATCAGAAGAATACCCAAAAATCAATAATCCACAAAACAAGAGTCCTTAGAAGCAAAGAAGCTCCCAACTAAGAAGGAAACCCAAATAAGAAAGGCAAATCAAGGTACCAACACTGCTTCAAGAATAATAAGAAGATCCCAACTCGAGAAACGCAAGACAACAGTAGAAGAGGAACCACTACAACAAAGAAGAACAATAATGAGAAAAAAAACAAGAGAAAGCAGTTTAAAACAAGTAGAAGACAATGACAGACATCCAACCTAAATCAAGATAGGAAGATAAATTCCACCTTGGTAGCAAAAAAGCCAAATCAGAGAACACAAACAAATGAAAGTAACAAAAAGAGAAAATCTAGGAAACTCTAAACCTAAGAACACAACCCTCAACAAAAGACAACAAAGGAAGAAAAATAAGCTTGAAAGAAAAAAAAATCAATCAAAAATAAATAAATAAAACAGAAAACTCAAACCCAAATAGAGCATAACTAACCAGAAAGAAAAATTTTTGAGATTCCATCCTACTATGATGGCTATCAAACTATGATGACTATCAAAATAAATATCCAAACATGTGGTTGAATTTTAATAAAGGCTAGGAATTTCAACTTAAAAACAACAAAAAGGGAAAATAACAAGAAAAGCAAAAGGACAAACATAAAATAAAATTTTAAAAATAAATATAATAAAGTAAGAAAATATTAAAGAATAAATATAGTCAAGAAAATATTTCAAAAATACCAAATCAAAAGACACAACAATCTAAAGAGA